TTTCCCCCCCCCCCCCCCCCCCTTTCTTAATAAGATAAGAACTGTACTAACAGCATGCTTCTAGTGTCCGGTCTGCTTGTCTGGCTGGTCAGATTGTCCCGTAGCAGGGGTATGGTAGAATCCTAGAAGATCCAGGGCGGAAGGGACTTCAGAAGGTCATATCTAGTCCAACCCTGTGCTCAAAGCAGGACCATCCCCAACTAGACCATCCCAGATGAGGCTTTTGCCCCTGCGGGTCTTAAAAACCTCTAAGGATGGAGATTCCACGCTGTCTCTGGGTAACCTGGTCCAGTGCTTGATTACCCTTCTAGTGAGAGTTTTTTGTAATATCTAATCTAAACTCCCTTACTACAACTTGAGACTGAGGGGCTTCTAGGATAGTGGCTGGAACCTCCTTTCGCCTTCAGAGCTGAGGTAGTCTTTGAGTGTTTGGGAACTAGTTAATTTTTTTTTAATTAGCATTTCCTTGTGGCATAACTAACCTTTGAGGCCTTGTCCATATCCAGAATTGTATTTATTAGCAACATGTAATACTGTTTTGTGGGGTTTTTTTCCTTTATGGGAAAAGACTACAAAATCTTGTCTAGATGTTTTTAAATTCAGTTAAACTTAACCAGCATAGACCAAGTTTAGCTTGGATTTAAGTGGAATGAACTTCTTAGCTGCATAGCTACTTCAGTTAAAGTCTGTTCTATGTAGTTGGTGGAGCTGTGAAAATAGACAAAGGTTGAGGTGTGATATTGGATGTTGCTTGGCTACTGCAGTGGCATGCGATATCCATACCTGAGTGCTGGGTTTGGTTTGAGGGTCTCAGCTCCTAGTCCTTCTCAAGCTGCATTAAAGCTGAAGTTTTAGATGAAAAGTTTGCTGCAGACAGAAACTTGACTGATGTGGCCCTCTACAAGGAGGTAAGTACTGTAATATCATACTTACTCAGTCCTAAGACAGGGTTCCCCACTCAATTTCACATGCGAGGGGTAGAGGGGGAGCCCCTCATCTTGGTATCAAGTATGGGGGGGGGGGGCAGGTGCCTGCTGTGGCTTGGGCTCCAGTCCTGACTTGGGGTCAGGGTTATAGCTGCAGCTGCTGCCTCTGCTCACCCCGCCATCTTCCCTCCTCATCTTTTCCTCTTCATTTGCACCCCCACATAGCCCTTTCCTCCCCGCCCTTTTACCTTTGCTCCGCACCAGCAGGCTCCACACATGCTGCAGCCTGGGGCACTGAGCACAACCCCAGCCCAGCCTTGTGCTGCTTGCACCACTTATACAGGATCTGAGCTGGGTCCATGTTCCATGCCCCAGGCTAGAATAGAGATGGAGCCTGGCAGCGCAGGGCAAGAATAAGGGTTGGGAGGGGAGCAGAGGCTGTGGTGGGGAGTAGGCACAACCAGGGGGTAAACTGCTTGATTTCCCCCCACCCCACCGCTGCAGGGAGGGCAGGTGGTACAGAGAGATGCATATCCTCCAATAATTAGATTCTATGCGTGGAATACTATAACAAATTTATAAATTTTTCATGTATAAAATCTAATTATTGGCAATTCAGGGTTGTCATGTCATGTATTGCAATAGGCACTACAATCTGTTTGTCATTTAAGCTCTGTCTAGGAGAGTAGTTCTCAACGTTTTTG